CACGGAAATATTCAATTGGATTAGTTTGTAAAAGTAGTGTGTTTCTCGCTCTCTGGAGATGTATAAACCTCGTAACAGTTCTCACTTCAGGGCACACCTCATTTGCAAGTTTGTACACCTANGAAGGTTTGTACACCTGCCCTTTCCACTTAGCGAATAAAACAGTGTTCCACGAGAAATGTCAGGTTAGCCTCGTTAACGGAAATGGTGACTTGTCCACTCAGGAAGGGTGTACAAACTTTATAAGTGCCTTCTCTTCAGGGCGGACCTCATTTTGAAGTTTGTGCAGCAACCCCTGTTGTTTAGTGAACAAGGCAATGTTCACACGGAAATATTCAATTGGATTAGTTTGTAAAAGTAGTGTGTTTCTCGCTCTCTGGAGATGTATAAACCTCGTAACAGTTCTCACTTCAGGGCACACCTCATTTGCAAGTTTGTACACCTACCCCTGCTGCTTGGTCATCGAGCCAGTTTTCGAACACAAATTTTCAATTAGATTTGTCCGGAAAACGAGTGAATCTATCCTTACGAGGGGGTGTACAAACTTCGCAAGGGTCCTTACGTCAGTGCAGACCTCATTTCGAAGTTTGTACAACTTTTGTTGGAGAATTTTTGAATTTTATACACCTGATCTTACTCGATAGTTTGGATATTATTATTGAACTGCGAAATTTTTATATTTTTAGGGGTGTACATACTCGAGACTCATTTGTTGCTTATATTTATAAACTTTCAGAGTTTGTATACCTCCCCTATTCAATTGATATTATGATTTATATATTGGCTGTGCTAGCTTTTAAAAAGCTAGCACAGCCATTAAAAAAAAAACTATAAGAGCAAAAAAAATTTTTTTTGCGCAAGAAATGAGCAACAAACGTAAGCTTTTAAATGCAGTCAACGTTTTTTGATTGTGCTGATTTGGCTGTGCTAGCTTAAAATGCCTGCGACGAACTTCATATGCATGGAGGAAGCATTAAAAATGATTTTAAAAGTATGAAAAAATTCACACGTGCTCATGAAGTTTTGCTCTGCATTTTTGAAAAAAAAGGCGTTATGAATTTTTTTTCCTTCCTACGTTGGCCTGCCTAACGCACACACACACACACACACACACACACACACACACACACACACACACACACACACACACACACACACACACACACACACACACACACACACACACACACACACACACACACACACACACACACACACACACACACACACACGCGCGCGCAAATACACACGCACACATTTAATTGAAACTACTGTATATACTGCTTTATATCCATTTTATACACAATTTATACATGATTTTCTGTGTAAAAATTATATTTTCATAGGAAGTTCGTACATAAAAATCATTGGATAGGTATAGTTCTTCCATAATTTTGGTTACATCGATTTTTTGTTATATATATATATATATATATATATATATATATATATATATATATATATATAGTTACAATAAGCTGCAAATGTTTGATGTGAGGATGCAATACATGGAGATTCTGGTGACAAGATTTGGATGAAAAACGAAATCGAAGATCGGGTATGCCACTTTAGGAAATAGTATATTTCGATATAATTGAGACAGAATTTGTACGAGTGTGAAGTTGCAAATCACACGAGCTGGAAATTCCCTTCTCACATGCGTCGAACAATATTTTTTGACAGTGATGTTACGCTCAGCGAGTGGCCGAACTTGTGCCTTTGTAGTTAACAAGTAAAGCCAATTTATAGAGCGCAACCGGAGCTCTCTAACTGCATAACTGGCGGAGATATTGAAGATTCAATTTTTTTTCATTTAAAACCTTTTTTTTCATTTCTATTTACGAGCCACTAAGAACAACAACAAAAATTGGAACCCATAAATTTTGTTCGAAATTTTCTCAGCTTTTCGAAAAAAAATATTGCTTTTTCTGTACAGATACATATTTTGGTATGGCGAATTCAGAAATAAAGTTTCAAACGGTCATTAGGGCTCGTTCCCCACCCTTTTTTGTATTTTTATTTTTTTAATAACAAAATAGTAGATTGTGCACCAAGGAAGGAAAACAGGACATTCGAAGCCGCGTGCGGATCACTGCCCGAGGCGAAGCCGAGGGCGGTAGACACGCGGGTTTGAATGTCGTATTTTGCTTTCTAGGTGCACATACTATTGTTCGTCATAATTGCACGGTGTAGTTGGATTTTTCTTCGTAAATGCAGGGAGGAGCGTGGGTTATGCCATTCCGAGGATCGTCAAAAACAACAGAAATCCGAGGAATGAAATAAGCCACTTTCATCCCGTTATTTGGGGAGGAAGATTGAACTTTCCGTGCAGATGTGACGAAAACATATTTTCATTTTTGGCGCTCTCACAACCTCAGAGGTAAAATGCAGAGAAAAACAAAATTTTGTCCTCCCAAAAAATGAGTTTTTCAAAAAAATCTCTAAATCTAGAGGGGACAGAGAATTTTTTGGAAAAATCTTGTTAGAGATTGAGGCTAATATTAGAGCGCATTGGGGGCCCGTGACATGAAAAGGGTGAAATTAAAGACACGCGGATTACAAAAACGCTGGTGATGTACTTTATTTGTGGCGCAAGCCACGCGTCTTGATTTTAGGGATACACGAATTGGTGAATGTCAAAATGTTAATTTGATAATAGTCTTTACACTGCACTAGAGATTCTCTCGATATTAAACTTGATGATTGACTCAAAATATCTGATGCTTAACTTGAAATTAATTGATAATTAAACGAAATAGAGACGCTACACAGAACGCTAGACTCAATATAATACTCGTTGATGTACCCGATACTCGGCTACTTTGATACTGCCCTCTATAGGTGTACTCTCGCACTAACCGATGTATACTCTATGAGGAATAGATACAGAAATGTCATATTTGGCGATTTGCTCCGTGATTTGCCCGTCGACCCGAAGGGTCCCGAAGTCTGTCGAGATTTTCCGTTGAGCCCGGTAACTTTAGATGATGACTTATTTGCTGCGTTTCAAACAAATCTTTTTTATAGAGCAGAATAGAATCTACCAAAATGCTTTTATAAAATTTTTCCCATCTACCGTATATTTAGAGATATTCATTGGAAAATTATTCCCAGAATCAGTTACCAATTAGTTTTTTCTCAATATTTAGTTTTCAGCATTGAAGTAAAATATCGAGTTCTTGGTAAGAACCTTTCTTATAGGGAAGAATAAGATCTACAAAAAAATTGTTGCCATTACTCTTGCGAAAATCTCTGTATCTCCTTTCTGTTCCGAGATATTGTCCAAAAACTAATTCTCATCACACTGTCCGTAACATGTCGTTTTACGGACACTTCGTGGTTGTCAAACGCCGTTTACGGGCATTGTGAAGGAAAATTATGTTCGTGACTTGGCCGAAAATAACTTTTCTGACTCGTGTGATTGCATTCCTCGGCTTCGCCTCGGCCTGAAATTCTCACATTCATCAGAAAAGTTTTTTTCGGCCTTGTGACGAAATATACTATTTCGTCATTAGGTCGAAAAAAACTGTTCTGGCAAATATGAGTTTGCAGTCCGATCCGAAGGCGAGGAAATGGAATAAAAAATATTGTTCGTCTTCGAAGACGATGACGAGCAATGTTTTTTCTAATTCATTAGAAAAGTATTTTTCGGCCTAATGACAAAATATACAATTTTCTCATAGCAGCCATAGGCAGCGATGCCTTATGGCGAAACGCTGCCTTATGGCTGGAATGACAAAAGTAGCTATTTTCGATTTAAGTGACACCTCTTGTCTCATTTCTTCACCTCTGAATTAAGTTCTGTGTTGGGTTATGATATTCAGGGCACTCAATTTCTACTCAAAATAATAAAATGAAGGTTATTTTAATTTTTAATTTCTACTCGAATCATAAAAATGAAGGTTATTTTCCCGACTTTCACGTATTTTTCGAAATGGGTATATCATGTACATTGTACCATGATAGATTACAAGAGACTTTCTTTCTAACCCACTTGAATTCGATGAAGTTCCTCTTCCATTGTTCATACTTCGCTGAAACTCCTCGTTACAATCCCTATTATTTTTTGCGCGTTAATTTCATACCTCAAAAGGTTTTTGCAGCACTATAGATTTTACTCCGTTCCAGCAATGATTTATGCAATGAAAGAGGAAGTACATTGTATTCGATTGGGAGAGAAAACAAGTTCCTAGAACAAGGTATTCCTGTAATCTACATGGAACACCAACAATGTACCTATTTCGAAAGATAGAAATTGAGGATAATGACTTTCTTTTTTATGATTTATTGAGAATTGATTAGCAGAAATTGAATCTCGTGAATATCCTAACCCAGCACAGAACATAATTCAGAGGTGAAGATGGCAAACAAGATGTGTCACTCAAATCCAAAACTCGTTTTTGTACAATATCTCCGAATGCAAAGGAGATAGAAGGATTTTTTTTGATAACCTTTTTGGTAGGGTTAATTTTTCCTTACAAGAAATATTCTTGCCAGGAAAACTTTTTTTCCTTCAATCCTGAGATATTGTGAAAAAACTTACTGGCAACTGAATCTGGACATGATTTTCCAATGAATTTCTCTGAATCTACGGCAGATGAAGAAAATTTCATACCAGCTTTTTTTGTAGATCTCATTCCGCTCTATAAAAAAGATTTATGCCAAAATTTCTCTATCTCGGCAGGATTCCAAGATATTTTTGGAAAACTAATTTTTTGGAAGAACTAATATTTGTTTTTCTCTCCATTTCGCCTCTGAACTCTTCAGAGCACCAAAATTGAAAATAGGTGTTCGTCAGGATATTTTCTAAACCTTACGATGAAAAAAAAACAAAAAAGTAAAACAGTGCGGCGAATAACCCCAACTGACCGTTTAAAACATTCTTTTTGATTTTTCCATGCCAAAATACATTGAAAAGATTTTTTTTTTTCGAAAAGCTGAGAAAATTTCCGCCAAATTTTATGGGTTCAAATTTTTTTGTTATTCTTAGTGGCTCGTAATTCGAATTGAAAAAAAAAGGTTTTAGATTGAAACAAATCCAATCTTCAATATCTCCGCCAGTCATTGAGTTACAGAGCTCCGGTTGCGCTCATTTTTCTTCTTTTGGATTCTATTTTTCAAATAAAAATTTCAAAAAAAGTTTAAAATTTTAAGGCAATTTTTTATGTACAGAATTGTCGAATTCGTTCATATCTTAGGCGTTGTGACTAAGTAGTATATCTCGTTACTGAGCCGACAGGAACTATTCTGGCGAATATGAGGTTGCAGCGTGCCTGTGAAGCGCTGCACGTCGGTGAATCTCTGCCTACAGACAAGAAATATAGTTCGTCACATAGCCGAAAAAAAAATTTAACATTGCTGCTACCGGTCACTTCGTGCCTAAACGTGCCTTTTTATTTACTTGTAAACGAAAAGAGCACAGTTTGGCCACTGAAAGTAACATCAATGTCGAAAAATATTGGTCGACATATGTGAGACGGGAATTTTTACAAGTGTTGGCGGCCCGAGGCAAAGCCGAGGGCTCACTTGTATTAAACTGTATTATAGATCTCACTTGTATCGAAATATACTATTCTACCTCATATGATTGACTTTTTCTAGCTCATAGTCGCCAGAAATCGTATATTTCATCATTAGGTCGAAAAAAACTTTAGTAGCGAATATGAGTGTACTGCCCGGCCCAAAGGCGAGGGTTGCAATCATATGAGCAAGAAAAGTATTTTTAGGCCGTGGACGAAAGATATTTTTAATCATAATGGTTGTACGCTACGCGTCGGTGAAGCGCTGCCTTACGGCCGGAGTGACAAAAAGTTTCTTTCGGCCTAGTGACAAACAATACTTTTTACAGACCGTATGATGAAACTGAATTTTTATCCTCCAGTCCGTAAAGCGTTGTCCCACGGACACTCCCGTGAATCATCGCTCACGGTTTGAATGACTAAAAATATCGTTCGATACACGGTCGTGAGGAACTTTGCTGACAAACATGGGGTTATAGTACAAGCTGAAGGTGAATTCTGTAATCATATGAGGCAGAACATTTCCTCACGGCCTAGGGTCAGAATATACGATTTCCTAACCAGTGTGAGGGTTATAAAAAGTTCATAGCTGATGGCTTAAAAATGAACTTGAAATTCATCGATGATTTCTGACACTTCTGTTATCATTCGACCGATGACTCCTAGAGTTTCTCTGATGCTCACGCCCACGATGATTACGTTCTCCCTTATTATCATAACGATCAAAATCCCTTCTGTGATCTCTATCCCTGTTATTTTCTTGATCACGGGCATAGGGATGATTCCTGTTGAAATATCCGTCTTCTTTTCCGTAGGAATACGAATTCATATGATTTTGACTGGGATATGCCATTATACCAGGTGGGGCAAACATTGACATCATATTGTATCCCACTTGGGGCATCTGATACCCCATCAATACTTGATTACCAAATACAGCCATTTCGTTCATGTTGGAGTTATGCGTTTTGCGAGAAGTGAAGCCCAGGGGCTGGTCTGGTGATGATTGTCTCGCCTTAATTGTCAGAGGACGATTATAAATCGATGTTCCTTCGAACAAGCCCAGAGCGTAGGGGACCGATACTGGATGTCTGAATGTAACAAAACCAAAATTTTTTTGGTTACCATCGCGATCCTTGGGAATGTTCACTTTCTCCACTGGCCCAGCCTGACAAATATAATAGATATGGAATATTAATTTTGAACTGATGTGAAAACGATAAAATGAAATAAACATTCAGTCATTCTGGACCACTATTTGTATGAAACTAAATTATAATTGCCTTTATAAAGACAATTTATGGATAAATGAATTTATAAATAAATACCGGAATGAGAATCTTAGGATCGAAGGGTTATTCTACACGGAAAAGAATTCGAGAGTTATTGTGGGAAGTTTACGGAAAATTTTACACAGAGAAGAAAAATCTCTCGAAAATTAGTGTACCTTCTCACCAACGCGTGGGACGTACTAAAAAGGGTACAAAAAAAATGGGAATACTGAATACAAATTGGATTCTGACAATCATGATTTAGACTACCTCTCTCCAAACTTTCGTGTGCTGCACCCGACTTTTTTCGGCTCATTAGAAACTAGTTTGAGGAATCGTATTTTTATGGAACCAGAGACCAGCGTTGGGCATCTGTCGATAACCGCAGTTTTTTACATGACAGTGTAAAAAGCCCGTACTTTACGTAATAAATGTAAAAAATGTTTTTAAAAACAGCCGACACTACCTTTTATCGTAAACCGTGAAACTTCGCGAAGATTATACCTCGCGAGGGTGATAAAAGTCATGAGGTTCATACTTCGCCAGGGTCATACGTTTCGAGGGTCACACCTCGTAAGGGTCATACCGTGTAAGGGATGAATTTTACAAGAGTCAATCTCATTAATTATTGCTATCTATTGGATTCGTCGCATTATTATCTTTGTCTTGACATTAATTTGCTTCATTCAACATTATCAAATGACAAAACTAATTCAATTGTCTTTGGTAGCTTTTTTGAACTCTTCAGAACAAAATGGTTCTTTTCAGGTCCAACTGGGCTTTTCCGGAGCTCCAAATAATAAAGTGGATAATCCAATAAAGCTCAATAGATAATGATATTCACTTCCTCACAATGGGGATGACTTGTGACTTTGGTTTTTTACAACGTTTGACCCTCGTGAAATTTAGTCTTTATGAGGTATGAGGCTCATGTTTATAACTTTCTTAAAATGCCGTAAATCGTACCATGTAATGTAATGATACATTATGTCACCGTGATGAGAGTATTTTCTGACGAATGTTGCTTTATAATTCGAGCCGAAGACGAGGATTTTAATCACATGGGTCAGAAAATTGTTTTATCGCCGTGCGACATATAATATTTTATGTCTCTAGATCCGGACACCACGATTCAACTCAGGGAATCGATGTTAGAATCGCGGTTTTACGGTCCTAGGGACATAAAATAATATTTTCGTGTCACGGGACCAGAAAATTAATTACACACCTCGCCATGGAAAACGTATTACCCTCCCCAAGTGCTTGCCATCCGCGCCTTCGGCTCGGAAGGCAATCTTGCATGTGGGGGGCTGTGATCCTTTTTTCCAAGGCTCGGGCATGTACTGTACTATTAGGTGTATGACTTAATTTTTACAGATTTTTCCTTCGAGCTTAAAATTATATTTAAAATAGAAATTGAAGGGTTATTTAGGATTGAAATAACGATTAAACAGTTTTATTATCGTAAAAGTAATTAAGCTTTATTCAGCAACGTAATGCGACAACGGTCGAGGCACAAGTGATGCATAGTACGAGTATATCTACGAGAGGCGCAACGGCGCCGTAGCGACACAGTCAGCCACACTGTCGGTAAAGGGAGACTGGCGTAGGGCGCCACTTTCAACACTCCCTCCCGCCATAGACAGTATCCTTGATTCCTCTCCAGTCTTTTTCCCTCCTAATAATTTGTTCTCGTTTATCACAAAGTTTCTTATTTGGTAACTTCATCTCGCCTGAGTATTCTCGCCAGGTAATTTCGTCAGTTTAATCTCATTAGTTTTTCCATCTCGCCGGTATTATCTCTCCAAGAAAGGTCTCGCCAATTTCATCTCTCTAAAAGGTCTCGCTAATTTAGTTATTTCCTAGACAAACAGAAAGAAAAATAATTTAAATATTTACTTTCATTATTAGGTCCATCAAACGCTTGTGTGTTTCAAACGTCAATGGTTTGGTGAAAACATCAGCTAGCTGATCCCTTGAGCCAATCCAAATGATTTTTATATAATTCTTTTTAACACATTCCTTTACATAATGTAATTTGTTCTCTACAATGTGTCTCAATTTCATTCCTCCATTTGTTTCTGTACTCACAATAGCAGATTTATTATCACACCTTAAGATAATTAGAACAGGGGGATCAACCAGTATCAGTTTTAAAGAGTTGTGCAACGACATCATTTCTCGGCTCGCCTCGTTCATTGCAACATACTCAGCTTCACACGTAGAAAGTGCTACTGTAGTTTGTTTGTGAGTTCGCCAAATGATCGAATCACCAAACAGTCTAATCACAAATCCACAAGTTGTGATTGAATCTTTACAATCAGAAAAACTCGCATCAGAATAACCCTGAATGTCATTGGTCTCGCCTGAATATCTCAGACCCAAGCCCGTAGTACCTCTCAGATACCGAAAAATTCTTTTTACCATTTCCCAATCACTTTCTTTAGGATTTACTTGATGTCTGCTTATTACATTGACTGCATATGCAATGTCTGGTCTCGTAGCACCAGCCAAATACAAAAGACTACCTACAGCCTCTCTATAAGGAATGTTTGCTTTTGTTTCTGTCCTTTCCAAAGTCCCATTATCATATTCTGTTTCTCTTAATTTTCTCTCATTATTAACTACTTGAGAAGTATTCATTGGTGTACGTTGTGGATATGCTTTATCAAAGCCAAACCTACTTAATATCTTTTGAATTGTGACGAAATTCCAGGCGAATTCGTCACCTGCGGAACTCCAGGGTATTTATGTATAGAAAGAGAGAGAGAGAGAGAGAGAGAGAGAGAGAGAGAGAGAGAGAGAGAGTAAAATTGTATAAACCGTTACTTTTTTGTCGATATCAAAATATATACGGAGAATTAGAGCTACCTGCTACCTTAACTCTACTTCAGAGCTACCTTAAGTTCGGAAAACTACTTAAATTG